CCAGGGGCAATAGTTTGTGGCTTTCTCCCCGACATGGATTCTTCCTCTTGACTGTACCCATCGTTCAGAAAATAAATAGATAAATAAATAAATACAGTTTTTTAAGGAGAGGGAAAATACCATTAAAAGTGGTAATAAAATATAAACTTTTTTCCTTTCTTCCTTCTCTCTCCACCTGTCAATGTATTTTTCGTTTGCTTTCTTAATGTCATTCTAATTAAGTAGAATTAACATTGTGAATTATCAGCATGAATTTTGTTGTTCAACTTTTTTCCCTACATCAGTTAACAAAATATAAGTTTTAAGTTGTCATTATTATGGAGTTTCGAGATGGCCAGGGTGGATCTCGGGGTTACTGGAGTCTCTGTATTAGGATCAACAAAAGGCTGCACCTGCCGAAACCCGGGGTCGAACCAGGGACCTTTAGATCTTCAGTCTAACGCTCTCCCAGCTGAGCTATTTCGGCTGCCTAGAGGAGGGTTTCCTGATAATTGGTTTTGCAATACTTAGATTGTCTTCTACTTCCAATTTAGGAGATTTCAGATTCTTCAAGTGTTGCAAACTAATCGTCCAATACATGTACCTATCCAGAAATCTGGGGGATCTTTTGTCTTCCGCCTGTATTAATATTGCATCCAATTCCTGGCAGGTGGGAAGGTGGGTGCAGGAGGAAGACAGAAAAGAGGCGTAGGGTTTCCTCCGAAAGCCTTTCTGCTCTTCTGCAACTTGGCTAATCCAGACACATCTCAGAAAATTAAGGAAACCAAAGAAAACATTTCGTGAGGTCCCTTACATAGGAGAAAGTCTTTGTGACCCTGGGTCAGACAAATATTTTGTAGATACAGCAGCAAAAGCATAAAAGTTTGATAAATTTAACCTCATCAAAAAACTTTAAATCCTGCTCTGTGCAAAACTGTTTAAGAGAACAGCAAGGCCAGTCACAGACTGGGAGACAACCTTTGCAAACCACGTTTGCACCTTTATATCTTATAAAGGATTTGTATCTAGAATGTGTAAAGCGCTGTAAACAGCCAACAAAAAGAAAGCACGATTCTAAAACAGACAAAATATTTAAGCAGATGCTTCTCCAAAGAAGCGATAGGGATTGCAAATAAACAAAAGGTGTTCCACATCGGTCATTAAGCAAAACATGAATTAAAACCATAATGATATACCCTTGCACTTAGGACTTGCTAAAATTTAAAAATGCCAGGCATACCGAATGTTTGCAAGAATGCGGAGGCAATGAAACTCTCGTATCCTGTTAGTGGCAAAGGAAAAAGCATTACTTTGAGACACTTCGTCAGTTTCTTAAAAAGTCGAAGATATACCTTCCCCGTGATGCAGCCACTCACATCCTAAGTACGTATCCAAAAGAAAAAAATAAACCTATTATGTCCATGCAAATTCTGGGACACGAGTATTCATATGCTTGTAAGAGCCAATAATGGGAGAGAACCCAAATGCCTTTCCATGGGTGAACTGATAAACAAATTGTGGTCTATTCATACCATGGAATATTCCTCGGCATAAAGTGGAATAAACTATCGATATGTACAACATGGATGGATCTCAAAATAATTATGACGAGTGAAAGAAAATCAAAAAAGTAGATATGTGATTCAATTTGTGTAAACCTTTAGAAGCGAACTAATGTACAGTGACAGGATTAGGTGACCGGTTTCTTGGGGTTGGAGAGGCAGGCAGGAGTATGACAGAAGGTGAACCCATAAACGTTTTCTTCCTCTCTGTCTCCCCTTCCCAGCCTCCCTCTCTCCTCCTCCCTCCTCCCTCCCTCCCTCTTTCTTTCTCTTTTCTATGCTTGCCAGAGAGCCGTGGGGTTAAGACCATTTCTCAAGATGCGGAATGGAGAGAAGCAGCAGGATTGGAAATAAGTGATAATGATTTTCATTTTGCACGTAGGGTGTCAGAGTGCTTCCTTGATCTTCCAGAGCAGGAAATCCCGGTCTTGAAAATGGCTGGTGAGAAAGGTCAGGTTCCATGTAGAGGGTGAGGGAGGAGAGTGAGTACAGACCCTTGAAGAGGTGGGTGGGTGCAGACAAGATGGTCAGTGAAGATTAGGTACAATGATCTATGGTGGAGGAAAAAAACGTGGAGAAAAAGAGAATGAAGTCAAGTGAACCTTCCAACTGGAGACTTTCTGTGGTAGCGGTTCTCAAAAACAAAACAAAATACAGGCGTTAGGACGGTAAGATCTTAGAGAAGACTGACCCTGACAGGGAAGAACTTAGGAGCAGGAATAGTATCAATTTGGATTTAGAATGTACTATTTCTGAGTATAGACAAAAAAAAAAAATTCCGATTTAGAAATACAATTAGTGGAGTTAACAGAATGCATTTTCTGGCGTGCGCGCGCATGCACACACACACACACACACACACACACACACACACACACAGCCTTGCCCAAGAATACAGAAAATAGCTGTATTTCCTAATATATCACAAAACAAGCAGCTCTCACCTGGGGGTGTAGCTCAGTGGTAGAGCGCATGCTTTGCATGTATGAGGTCCTGGGTTCGATGCCCAGCACCTCCAGGGGCGCCTCCCTTTTTCCTATCCCCAGTCACCAACCAAATCTGCTTTTCTGCCTTTTGTTACTTTTTTTTTTTCTGCTCACATGAAAAGTAAACATGATTGGCGCAACATCAGAAGGAAGAAAGGGGGGGTAAAGAGACTTGTTCAACAACCCCGAATGCGCCAACATAACCAGCTTTGTCACACAGAGTATCATTTTACAAAAGGAGGTAAGAAAGAGGAAGAGAGGGGGAGAGAAGGGGAGAGAGTGGGGGGTGAGGAAGAGGAGAGGGAGAGGGAGAGAGAGAGGAACCCAATTTCGTTAGCCTGAACAGCTAATCCTAAAGACCGAGGCATGGGAAAAATTAGGGTGACGCGAGCAGGATTCCAACTGTCTCTGGAAAAGTACTTTGGCCGGCAAGCCAAAGCCTTGGACAAACCACTATTGGTGAAACTTCATCACATACCAGGAATAGAACACATGAATCCCAACAAGGACTTTTGTTTGTTTCTTCAGTAAGAGCCTAAAAAATGACTCTTACTGAAAATCCCCACTCAACCTGCATTCATTTTGGAGACAAGGTAATGTTCTTCCTCTGCAGCAGAGAATGCTTCGCTTTCCGATAAATCCAGGGAATGGAGAGCTCTCGTCTTCTAAGAAGTCAACCACGCCCTTGTGTCCTTTCCGTCTTCCCATCCCACTGCGTCTAAAGAAGGTGGAGGAGCCCTAGGTGTGCTGTGGAGGCAGGAGACCCTCCCTGTCAATAAACCGGCCCTGTGGACAGTATTCCTACTCAAAGAGTGTCCGTTGGGGACTGGTGGAACTGATGGCCTAAGTGACCTACACGTTCTGTGATTGCTTCTCTCAAAGTGGCCACTCCGGGAAGCCGCCCTGCAAGGCGTCCACGAAGGATCACCGTGCTATGAGGGAGCCCAAGCTAGAACCGTGAAGAGAGAAGGGAACAGAAAACCGCACAGGGTGGTGCCCCCTGGCACCTGTGAGGCCAGCCTTGCTACCAGCTCCGTGAAGAGCAGAGAATACCCCAGCTAGCTATAGGAGCAGAGGAAGGCCCAGCCAAAATTGCTGACCCAGGGAATTGTGAGCAAATGTGATAGATGTCTGTTTAAAGTCACTCGATTTTGAGGAGTTTGATACACAGCATTGTATAACTAAAATCGTCCCAGACTGGCAACGATAGGCAAAGAAGACATCACCACCTTATCCGGAAGCTGATAGCAGGAGTGGGACTTTTACTGGTGTTCTCAGGAAAATGTAAGGCCATGATGAGAAGTATAAATGTTTTACAGATGAGATCAGTCTAGGAGCAATCTCATTTTTTCCCACAAATACCAATAAGTTCTTTACTAGTCTTTTAAAAATGTTTTAAGTTTATTTATTTAGAGACGGGGCAGAGGGAGAGAGAGAGAGAGAGAGAGAGAGGATTCCAAGCAGGCCCTGTGCTATCAGTGGAGAACTCAACTTGGGACTTGACTCTGAGACCCTGATCATGGCTTGAGCCGAAATCAAGAGTCGATGCTCAACCCACTGAGCCACCCAGGTGCCCAGGTGCCCCCTTTATCTTCTGGTCTTAATGGACAACTTTAAGTCCTTACTCTACCCACTCTTAACCGGCACTCTCCTCCCAGACACATGAATGTCCGAAATTCAGGGTCAGAGATGTCTAGAGAATTCCAGACTCCGCTTGTAATGTGTTTAAGAGACACCCTCAAGGGGCTATCCTGTAGATACTTGAAATATGCCTATCCAAACTCAAACTATTCGTTTCCCCCTTACTGCTGCACATACGCGCCCAAAGCAAAAGCAAATCAACAAACCAGTCACAACAAGGACAAAAAGAACAGAACTGTCTCCCCTCCTCCTAGAGTTACTATTTTGTGCAGAAGGCGTCACTATCTGCACAATTCAAGCTGCAGGGCTCCCTAGGTGTAAGTATTTGCTCTAGGAAGAGCCCGAGCCCTGTGGCTGGACCTCGTTCCTCGTTCCAGATTTCTCCCTTGCCTTTCATCCTTAAATTCTCGTTCAACTCGTCTGCATCCTCGAAGGAACCTCGGAAGTTGCGTGCCTAGATGAGGACAGGGTAGAAGTCGCTGGATTGTACACGTCAGGGCTGTAGCGTGCTCTCGCCCCCTCAGCGCCCTGCTTCTCAGAAGCCAGCTGAGCCCTCAGGCGGTGACAAGAGGAGGGACACGCTGGCGGTCGTTAGGCGGCGCCCTTTCCGTACAGAAGCTGGAAATGAGGCAGAGCAAACAGGAAACGACTCCTCCCGAGGCCGTAACTCCGACCCTCATTGAGAGGCTGAGACCCCAGTGAGCAGCAGACGTCGTTACAGCAGGTGCAGCCTGAACTCGCCGAGCTGGGCGCGTCTACTTTCTCCGACGGAAATACAACGTGAGCCGCGGATGCGGTTTTCACTTTACAGGCGATGCCGCCCCCCGCGGCTGGGGGTGTAGCTCAGTGGTAGAGCGCGTGCTTCGCCTGGGCGAGGCCCCGGGTTCGACCCCCGGCTCCTCCACCCGTGCTTTTCCCTCCACTGTTACGTCGTTCCCGCCGCGTGGGATTTGGTGCCGCCCGGGACGCGGGCGTTCTCGAAGAAACGCGGGAGGAGAAGGCACGGCCGCAGCCACATCCACGGGGACGTCTGCCGCGGGTCTCACCCGGCAGAACCCCTGAAGAGCAGGGCAGGAAAGGGAAAGAATGCATCTGTGACGTTTCCTAGGTTTGAGGAGCACCATGCGGTCCAAGGCGCGGGGGCCGGGCTCCTCTGCTTCCCCCCCCCCCCCCGCGCCCAGGGTGCCCCCCACCGCGCCCCCGCTTCCGGGGACGCCAGGACCGCGGCGGTGCGAACCCCGCCAGACTCCCGCGGGGTGGGCAGTGGGCGCCTACCAGCCCTGCGGGAGTTTAAGCCGTAATTTGGGAGCCGGGGCGAGACGGTAAGGGACAGGCCCTGGGGTTGGCGGCTCGGTTATTGTATATTTTATTCCGAATCGGCGCGACTCTCGCAAGTGTACCCAGAACACACCCTCGAAGACCCCAAGTAACCCCACCACCCCCTCAACCAAAACGCCTCCTGGAGCTAAGTCTCGGGGACCCGGACATTTTGTTCTTAAATCTTTAGGTGGATTAACACCTCTCGGAGCACCACACCCAGAGTCCCGCGGAGACGGGGCCGCCGGGGTCTTGGTGGGATGGGGCGGGTGTACCAAGGTCCTGTGTTCACACAGACCAACACTTGTTACAGAGACGGCGCGGACGGCGCAACCGGGAGCATCTCTGCGAGGCGCCCGTTTCCCGCGCGAGCCCCGTGGGTGAGCGCACCAGCCTTCGCCTGCTCCTTTTGTGTTTTCGACCGGGGCGTCGACAGACCTGAAAGACGGTGCCTAAATCCCCTCCTTTGGAAAAACTAAAAGCACGTTCCTCATCGCTCCTCCAGGATCACAAGAGGGAGCAGGGACCCATCCCCGCCCGCCCTCCCCCCCCCCCCCCCGCTGGGTTTCCTCCTGGGCTCGCGCCGCAGACGGACCCTGTACCAGCGAGGCCACAGAACTTCCTGCCAGGGCCATCGCTGGGCTGTGGTCATCCAGGCGTGTTGGCGACACGCTGCTGGTGGGATTACCTGAGCAAAGGCTGAGCGAGCGAGCGTCCCTTGTGATTCTTCCTCCTGACTCCCGACTGGGCTCAGGAACCAGCAGGGGAAACCGCTGGGACCACCTTCCTCCATTTTGCCACGCGCGGGTTCTCCAGCACGATCCTGCTCCTGCTCTTTATGGCCTTGGCCTCGCTGTGATTGGTGTGGAGCCCTGGAACTGCCTCAGGGAAGCTCTTGGGCAGCTGCTAAATAAAAGTCAAGACAGACAATAAGTCCCCCTCGGGCCATGTAATTCACGAGGGCATCCCTATTCGGGATACACTTTTTCCAGGGGGAGGGAGTAGCTGACCCCAGAACCTAGAAGCCGCAGACCCGGACATGCATGGCCCACCTCAACTCAGGTGGCCTCAGGTTGGCCCAAACGTGCGGCTCCTCCTCGGGGCAGTCTGGCTGTATCACAGATTTCCCGCATCAGTACCCCAGGGCCTTTGCACCGCCAAAGCTTCTCGCTGTCACCCGGGCAGGAAATGCTACAAGAAGGGCACAAAAGGGCAGAACCCGAATCATTGCCTCAGGGAACTTAGACCCAGATGGAAAGAGGGTACAGATCCCACATAAAAACCAGTATGTGTATGCTGTCACATCGGGTCAGAACCCGGGCCTGGGCCTCACCTTCCGGAGACCCACAGCGAGGCACCTGGGAGGCGCTCTGGACGCAGAGCAAGGACCTCTTCTCGGCAGGTTCACAGTCACAACAGTCCCCCACCCCCCCACCGCGGGGGTTGTGGACAAATATTCCAACCTCGATCACCGCAGCGGCTTCCCTGCTGTTGTTGGAAGGGATCCCGGATGGTCGGTTCTCCTGTCACTTTCCATCGGGCTCTCTTGTCCCCGTGCGGAAACTGTACCTTCCTGACTCTCTCCATTAACTGTGTGTGGCTCTCCGGTTCACCCCTGCACTCCTCTGCCCCGAATCGCCCGGCGAGGCTCCGTCGTCGCTGGGAAGTGGTCGGAGCGCGCGCCCAGAGGGAGACGACCTTGAGGAGGAAGGCGGTGAATAACCCCGTCGCCCCGAGGTGACCTGTGGATCGGAGACAAGATGTTGGAGCAGGACTCAGCGGCTGCCGACCCCCTGGGGACCGTGCGGGGGGGGGGGGGGGGGGGGGGGGGGAGGGGCCCCCCCCCCGGGCCCCCGGCCGGCCCGGGGGCCCGCCGCCCCCCCCCCCCCACGGGCGGCGGGTGTAGGGAGGCGTCCATAGGATCGAAGCGCCTCCCCAGACCTCTTTGTCCACCGCGAAGGTTCCAGAACCGCCAGCCGGGAAAGCGCGGCCGCGGGAGCTGAAGGGAGCGGAGCTGCCCGAGGAGGCGGCACCGGGGCGAGCGCGGAAAGGAGGAGGGGGCGGCGGCGCAGGACTCGGAGAGGAAAAAAGGGGCAGAGGGGCCGTGGGGTGGGTCTCTGCGCCCGCATCTCCACCAGAGCGCAGGCTGCGGTGCGGGGGTGGGGGGGGGGGGGGGGGGGGCGCCTCGTCTCTGTTCCCACCCGCAGGTCCCCGTCCTCCTGCGAAAAGTGGGCTCAACCCCGGGTGCCCCACGGGAACGCGTAGCCCCCTTTGCCCCGGCTGTCAGGGCTCTGGGGGCGGCTCGCTACCTCTGGGGGTAACGTTCCCGCTGCGGGTTCAGGGCGCCTCCGAGGCACCCGAGGCGCCCTCCCCTGGACGCAAGCCTAAACACCCGTCACAGGAACGAGCTGGGGTCCCAGCGCCCGAGGCTGCTGACCGGCCGACCTTTTGTTGCCCAATCAAGATTCTGGGGGGTGGGCGGGGGTGCAGGGGCGAGTGGGGACCGGACGACCGGCAGGACAGGTGTCTCCTGGGCCAGCAGTGTGTCCACTGAGGCAAGCACAGCTGAGGGAAACGGGTGGGGGGGGGGGGGGCTGGGATAGTTTCTCCAAAGGCCTCCTTGTCTTTCTTCTTCCCACTTCTTAGTAATAATTACGAATAAATCTTAGTAATAACGAAAGCGGTCCCGTGCTCTCCCTTCGGGTGGATTCTGTACTGTGCGAAGCAGTCTGGTCGGGAGATTAAGGGACAACTAAAGTGCGCACTTTGCGGAGACGCAAAAGTACCGGGCCGAGCTACCCGGCTCCGAACGCTTGGAGGTGCCGGGGATCGAACCCGGGGCCTCGTGCATGCTAAGCACGCGCTCTCCCGCTGAGCTACACCCCCTCGAGGGCAAGGGTTTCGGGAATGGCCACTGCACCGTCTGGATCGGTTGGCAGGTCCTTCCACCTCCGAAATCTTGGGACTGAATCCTGCCTCGCAGCTGCGCCCGGGGAGAAACGCGTCCGGAACCGAAGGCCCCCACCTTCCTCCCGAGGCGGCCTGCTGAACCTTCAGATCCCCCTTCTCAGAAAACGTCCTTCTCTGCCCACGAAGCCACCAGACAGACAAAAGGTAGCGCGGGGACACAAGGACGCGCCCCGTGGGCACCCTGGAGACGATCGGCTCCGGTATGGACTTGGGACAAGAGGGAATTCATTCACAGCACGCGACCCGCCACACGCGACAAGGGTGTGTGTTGGCCACGTTCAGCACCGGCTTTGGAGACGCGACGGCGCCTCTGTTCGGGCGCCGCGGTGGCTCTGGTTTTGAGGACAACACACGAGAGGACACGGCCCTGCCCCGACCGCGTCCGCTGCACAAGCTTTCTGCGCACCGAGGGGAGCCTGGGGACGCTGGGAGCAAACTGCGACACAAACGCGCCCTCTGTGACCCCTCCCGAAGCCCGCGCGTCCCCGACTGTCCTCAGTCCCCGAGGCGCGGAGTCGTCACTTCCCACCTTTACGCAAAATTCGGTGCAAATGTTAACGCAGATGCGAGTTTTGGAGAAAATCCTAAACCTTCTGGCCGGAGAGGGGACGGGGAGGAGCGGACAGGTGCCCGCAGAGGTCACGTTGTTACTGCCCTGGAGAGGCCCAGGGCTTCGACCTGGACCGAGCTGAGGAGCGGACCCTCGGAGGGCTGGAGCAGGGCGAGCGCAGGGGAGATGATGGAGGAGAGAAGAGGCCGCGAAGAGGAGGAGGAGGAAGAGGGGGAGGAGGAGGAGGGGGGGGAGGAGGGGGGGGGGGGGGGGGGAGGAGAAGGGGGGAAGACTGAGGAGGGGTGGTTGGGGGATAGGCCTGGGGGTGGGGGGAGACCGGGAGCATGTGTAGGTAGAAAATGACCCAGGCCCGGTCCCGCCACGCGGTCTCCAGGCCCCGAGGAGGGAGGTTCGGAGAAGGGAAGCCCCTTCGGCTGGTTTTGCCGAAGGTCCTGGGACCCTGAGAGTGTCCCGCGGCCTGTGTCGCAGCGCGCACGGAGTCCGCGCATTTCCAGGGCGCAGCCCCGGTCGAGGATCCGCACCAGGAGCCGGGGTCCTGGGATTTGGGGGCGCCACGATGTACGCACCCCACGTGGAAGCAGCGCCGAGTCTAGAAACGCGTTGTAACCCGGTTTTCTGCTCGCGCATCTCACTGGCAGCGACGGGTTTTTAGCGCGTTTGGGTTTCAAACACAAGGACGAAGGGAGGTGGGGGCGGGGTTCAGCAGTGAGTAAAGGGTATGGTTTGAACGAAGATTAGACACCGCCGCGCTCCCGAGCGTTGCCAGGTGCGCACAGGCCCTGAGCTGATCCACTGCTAGCCTCGTGCGCATTCTTTCGCTTCCCACGACCTCCCGACCTCCCGAAACTCTTGTAGGCCGAGGGCTGAGCCCAGCCTCCTCTGGGGCGGGGCCCTCTGGCACTTTTCCACGCACACAATTGCCGTTTTGTTTTACCCCGCGCTGGATGGAAGGACACCTGCACAGAGATCAGGGGCACCCGCGCCCCAAGTCACCCTCGTGTCAGTGTGGGCGCTGAGGGGGACAGAGCTCGGTTACGCGCGAGCAT